GCCAGAGGTCAGGCCTCAATGAACATCATCGGAGCCACACTGGAGAGAAACCTTATCAGTGTAAGGAGTGTGGGAAAGCCTTCAGTGCCAGTAATGGCCTCATTCGACACAGAAGAACCCACTCAGGGGAAAAACCATATGAATGTGAAGAGTGTGGGAAAGCCTTCCGCCTGAACTCATACCTTGTTCAGCATCAAAGGATACACACTGGAGAGAAGCACTATCAGTGCAATGAGTGTGGGAAAGCCTTCAGTCAGAATGCAGGGCTCTTCCAGCATCTTCGAATTCACACTGGTGAGAAACCCTATCAGTGCAGTCAGTGCGATAAAAGATTTAGTAGGCGAACACTCCTTATGAAACATCAGAGAAGTCACACTGGAGAGAGACCATATGAGTGTGATGAATGTGGGAAAGCCTTCAGCCATCATTGCAACCTTATCAGGCATTTTAGGATCCATACTCTTGCTGAACTAGACTGATTCTATTGATGCCCAGGCCCCCAGATGGATAGCAAGATTTTTGAGTAGCTAATTCTGCTCTTATCAAATTTATTTTGCTTTGGAATGAGTAGCTTGCTTGCAAACCAGGTGCTGGTGTCTCCTGGGTAGATGACTGTGGGTGTGGCGTGTTGCTGGGCAGCCTATAGTCCCTATCCCTTGGTTCTTTTCTAATGATTTTCCTAAAAGGGACCAAATCCTATTTGAAAATAAATTTGTATGTAGGATCTGTTCTTGGGTAATACTGTCCTCATGGAGCTTATATTTTAGTGAAGGGACACAGAAAATAAACAATTAAAGATGTGATATATCAGTAATAATTTCTATGATGAAAAATAAAGTGGGGTGAAGGAGATAGAATGTACCAGGATGGAAGTAGAAGGAGGTACTATTTTATGTAAGAAGGCCAAGAAATCTGAAGGAAGTCAATCATACAGATGTCTAGGTGAAGAACATTTCAGGCAGAGGGGAACATCAAATACAAAGGCTCTGAGGTGGTAGGTCCCTAGCTGTGTTTGAACATCACAAAGGCCAGTGTAGCTAGAGCAAAATAAGTGAAAGGGAGAAGACTAGAGAATGCAAGGGCAGTATGAAGGAGGCAGATCAAGTAGAACCACTGTAGGATCCTACAGGCCACTATAAGAGCTTTGGTTTTACTCTGACATAAGAAACCATTGAAGGATTTTGATCAGAGAAATAATATGTTCTGGCTTATATTTTAAAGGATCACTCTCGGTGCTATAATGAGAATTGACTGTAGGAGAAATCAGGAAAAGCAGGGAGTCTGGATTGGAGGTTACTGCAATGATCCAAGTAAGAAATGATGGTGGTTTGAAACAGAACAGTGGTAGATGAATTAAAAGTGTAAATTCTGCATATCCCTTGAATATGACAGTGAAATGTTTGCAAATGTATTGAAAATGGAGTGTGAACAAAAGAAAGGAGTTAAAGATGATTCTAAGGCTTTTAGTTTAAGCAACTAAAATGAAGCTGAAGTGGTGAAGTCTGTTGGGGAAGGAGGTTTAGGGGTGGGATCAGGAAAATTTGGTTTTGAATTCATTGAGATGCCTGTAGAGATGTCAAGTACAGAAAGCAATGGGTATATGAATCTGGAGTTCAAATGAGGTTTGGACTGGAAATAAAAAATTTAGGGAGTCACCAGAATACAGATGCTATATGAAGCTTAAGTGTGGAAAGGTAAAAGAAGAAGTTCATAGGTTATGCTCTGAGGTACACCAAGCATTTAGAGGTCAGGGGATAAGAAAGAGAAATCAGCATAGGACACTGTAATGAAGAAGGCAAAGCAGAAGAATCAAGAGAAAAGCTAAATGAAGAAAGTGTTTTCAAGAAGGCAATGATTAATTGGGTCAATTGATGCTGATAGGTCAAGTACGATGAAGACTGAGAATTGATTGGTTACTGAGTATAGTAATTTGTAGCTCCTTGGTACCTTTGACAAGCTGTTTTGTTATATGGTATACTGACTAGTTGTTAGAGAATGAAGAAGAGGAAAAGTGAAGAACAACTAATAGCAGCAAATTTATTGAAGTAGTTATTCTTTGAAGGAGTTTTGCTGTGAGGGGATCAGAAATGTGAGTAAATAGGTGGAAGAAGATGTGAAAAGAACTTTTATTTTAAAGATAGGAGTTATTACAGAATGTTTCCGTGTTGATGGGAATGATCTAGTAGGAGGGAAAAACTGGGCCTGGAACAAGTGTAACTCTAGAGCCTGTCTCTGCCTCAGAGACAGTGGTGAAGCATTCAGCCCCATGTGGTGGAAGGTATGGACATGGATGGATGTCTCCTGGTCAAGCCATTCCAAGTTTTTCAGATACTAGACTCTCTATCACTTGAAATCAAAAGACCACCCACTTTAGTTATATGAGTAGTTCATGAGGAATATCAGATCAATTACAAACTTTTCTTCCAGCATCTGAGTATGGAACATGCGAATCTGTGACTATATTACACTTGGTTTACATTTCTACCACCAAAAACCAAACCAGTTGCAGAGTAGATTCCAACTCATGATGACCCCAGGTGTGCAGAGAACTGCATTCTGTGGTTTTCAAAGCTGTGACCTTCCAGAAACCTTTCTTCTGAGTTGCCTCTGGGTGGGTTCCAACTGCCAGCCTCTCAGTTAACCATCTGTGCCACCTATATCTATGCACATAACAGATATTCTTGTTGAAGGAACTCAAAACTGACCATCTATCTTCCAACCAAGAGTGGACTGTAAATGTTAGGAAATTAAAGGATGGCAAGGAATAATAGCTAATACCCCCAAAACTGAGGTGGTCTGGCTTCTCTTTAACCTCTGGAAAGAGAGTTCGTATCTGGTCTTTTTCCTTGGGTTATCTATCACCAGTCAATGATCTTAATCCTGGACCCATTCACTTATCTTCTTACTTGATTTCAACATGGGATTAAAGGGCTTTATATCCCCTTAACTCTGCTGCTATTTTTTCTTTTCATGATGATTCTATTTCTCACTATTGACTTCTGTTGCCAACTCCCAAAGTTACAATGGGACATGCCTTTCATTTCAGTACTGAAAGGTACTGCTTCACTTCTGACATTTTCTTTTTTTTCCCCTTTACAGTGCTTTCCTGCAATATCGGTGCCTTGTCCTTCTCATCTACACACAATCTGATCTGGTTTTAAACCAATGCTGAGTTCTTCAGCCTCTTACCACCTACATTTTATTTAGATCATCTTTACCTCTTTGGCTCTGTCTCTATTTGTAGACTATAGCTACTGCCATTCTATGGTTACTATGACATTGCCTGCATTTTTTAAATGGCATTCTCTAGGAACAATTTAAAAAGAAAAAGAGGCAGGATTCATTCTTTAAAGCACAAAATAATCAAGTCAATGGATAAATGATTTCCCACATCTCTGACACCAAAACTGGACACAGAGAAATGTATCACCAGAATTCAACATTTTTACAGATAAGTTTTAACATTACTTGTTATACTAGTTTTTGAAACTCTATATAAATGTCTGATTTTAAAAATCTTAATTATTTAATTACTTAATGGTGTCATTACATACATCAGGTTTGCTTTGGGATGTACAATCTAATGTGTAGTTATGACTTTTCTACAACTTTTTAAGGTCTGCATTGTGTCCATTTTACCCATCTTTATCTGACAGATTAGCATGATGTTCCAAGTAAAAATGTGCAACACATCTCCGAAAATCCAAGAGATCTAGAGAAGCACCTGGATAACAGGATCTGTGTAGCTGCCATGCATTGTTCATGGCTACATCAATCATGTAGCTTACCAAAATTGAGTACCATTTCTTGCTTCTTATCCTCACTCTATATTTGGAAATGATTTGATCCATTTTAGCTACGCCTTCCCTGCATTCATCATACAGTTTCACTATGGATGGCTGGCTTATCTGAAGGCTCTCTTCATCATCAGCAAAACAATAATTTATTTCACTGACTGGTTCTATACCTACAGCACTGGAGCACAGACTGATAATGCCATCACCATGCCAACGACACAACATTATCTCATCATTTTCTTCCACTTGGAAATCGAAATACCCCTTCTTCTCTTTTTTCATGTGTTCTGCATTCATAAGGGGGCATTTTTCAGTCCTGTTTTCACGAATTGTTCCTGTTGCCTTCAGTCCCTTCTTCTTCAAGGCTGATACCAATTTGACACTTGTAAAGAAGCCATCAAAACACAGGTGATAAGGATACTGACCTCTCTCTAAAAGAATATCAGCAAAGTTCATCACTAGATTCCCACCTAAACCAAGATCAAGATCCTTATCTGCCTTCATAGTTGATTCTTGATAGGGCTCAAACCAAACAAGATAACCCTGTGTGGTTGTACCACACCAAATTTTATAGCCAATTCTAATAGGCTTTCCATTGAGGAACTGGTCACTATCAAAGCACTCACACATGGACTTACCAAAGCAATAGTATTCTTCTAAGGGAGCATACAAGAGGAAATTTTTATTCATTTGCTTTATGAGAGGCCTCAATTTTGTAAACTTATCTTTTTGGTCTAGGCAGCTATTATCTGCAAAATGTAGGTGTGAGAAAATCAACTCAAACCTGTCCCTTCTAATTGCATCTCTAACTAGATTCTGATCAGCATCAGAGATTTCCCAATACATTCCCCTTCTAGGACGCCTCACAAACCCACTCAAAAGCAGGACACCAAACACACACTTCATTTCCTGAATTGTGACTTCCAAGTTGACGTTTTTCTGAGAAGCGTAATTATTGGTTTCATTGACAATCAAGTTGAAAGTCTCATCATCAAAAAATAATTCAAAGAGCTCAACTGGGTTCAGCTTTTCATTCTTGAGATTCAGAAGTCCAAAATCCAGTGCTGACCAGCTTGGGAAGCTGGGTTTAATGTCTCTTTTGGTCCAGTTCTTCTCTGGGACACTTGATACTTTCTGCTTCTTTTGAACAGGCTGGATCTCAGGCTCATTATCTCCCTCCACATCTGAGTCACCAGAAAATGTGAGGCCTTGGAGCAGTTCACTAACTCGAGCTTTGTCTTTTTTCCTCCCTTTGCGGGTAATATCTCCTGCAGCATATTCCAACGATGAAATGTGCATCCGGGCCCACAAGTCACCTGGGTGACGTTCCTTCAGAGTGTTCAAATCTGTAACTGTCCTTTCAGGAAGGACAGGAGTACTATAAGAGATCTGGTGTACACAATCTCTGGGAAAGAAAGAAAAAACACATGTTATAAAAACGTCAATCATGTTCTTTCATACAAGATAAACCCTCTGAAACTTAAGTCAGGGACTACTTACTTCTCATGTTTGATACATTATAGACATTATGATTGGTAAAATACAGGGTCAGATGAACCCAAATGAAAACCAAAATCCAATGAGCTGGATTACAAAATAGCAACAACTATGGGCTCAAACATATCAACGATCATGAAGATGGTGCACAAACAGGCAACTTTTCATTCTGTTATAAATAAAGTTGCCATGAATCATCAACTAACAACTTCTTAGGTTTCCACTGGGAGGACTTCAGCTACACTTAACCATTCTAGCTTCATTACTTACCTCCTACTCACTGCTCACGACTTCTACTTGTTGAATCTGGGAAAATTAATTGGGCATCCTTATTGCAGCCCCTCTCTGTCTTCTTTAGGAGCAGGATGCAGATATTCCCTGCTTCTTTTCACTCAACTTTTATGGGACAGGCCTATGCCAGGGGAGGTCTGCTGCACTCCAGCTCTGCCTCCAAGCTGCTTCATCCAGCCTAGATTCTATCAGTGATAAAGCTGACGTTTCCAGCACTATCTGTTTGACTCCTGTAGTTCTTAAGTCAATTGGCTCTGAACTTGGACAAGGAAGAGGATAGTTATTTACTGGGCCCCCTCATACCTCTCACAGAATCTCTGAAGATAGGGAGATGTAGCCTCTTCTGTTCTGCACTTGTAAATGCATTGCATTTGAACTGAGTTTTATGGGATTTACAAGGAAGTAAGCTAGTTACTGAAATAAAAAAATACTATTTCACACAAATCCTTTTTTATTATTTCATTTTCATTCATTTATGTCTAATCAGTAAATTAGTATAGTTTTAAAAGGCGTAAGGGGGGGAGAAGCAATGAAAAGAGTATGTTTTAATATAATTCATATGACATATATTTATTTGCTAAAGAATTTATCATTCCAAACACCTATCCCAGGGATATGCACCCTTTAGTGTGTGTGTGTGGGGGGCATAAATATTGTTCTGGATGTTGTCAATGTCCACAGTTTTGGCTCATCCAATACATCCGTCTTAGTTCCCTGACATTTTCAACTTCAAGGACACTCCTTGAATCCAGCCATTATACTGGCCCTTTTCACTTACTGCTGAAATCTAAACTTCAATAGCTCATTCTCTATCCTCAATTTCTTTCTACGCTAGCCTCTTAATTCTCTTCATCCTATGATAGCTGAACTTCCTTCCATCTCACTCTCACCCTTACTTACATTCTCTCCTGTTTTCCTCTCTCTTCTATTCAGCCTAGACCCTGTGATCTTGACCTTAGCCCCTCTCTTACAAGGATCACCAAGCACCCTGCCCCAGCATCCATCTTTATCATCTCACCAGTAAAACTTCAGCATTGGATCAATACTATTTTGCTGGCCTTCTCTGTTCCTCATCCAGGAGTGAGCACTGACAGAGAAATCACACAACTAAGTACACTGACACTGCTGAAAATGATGGTCCCCAACTTCAGCTAGTCACTCAATACTACCCAGAAATCTTTCTTACTTGTTCGTGTCCCTTTCTCCCCAGTTCCCCACAGCAGCTATTCACATCTTCATCACTCATCTCAAATTTTCTATCCAGTCCTTGTTATTTCCAAATATGACCTGTCTTCTTACTCCAAAGAGGACCCAGACTTTTTCAAGCAGAAAGTTGCTCTTTGAAACTGCCTTCTTCCATGGTTCATGTGACTCCACTCTCGCCTGGTTCTTCTCCTATACTCTCTAAAAAACCAAAACCAAACTCACTGCCATCAAGTCGAACCCGACTCATAGCGACCCCCTCCTTGGGTTTCTGAGGAGGTATCATGAGGAGTGGCTGGTGGGTTTGAACCACCAGCCTTCTGGTTAGCAGTCAAATGCTTTAGGCACTATGCTACCAGAGCTCAACATTTGCAATTCTATTTTTCTGCCTTTTTTCCACTTTCTCTTTATCTAGCAAATTCCCACTTACTTATCAAGTCCTATCTCAGGTGTCACCTCCTCTAAGATGCTTCTCTGATACTCAAATCTCAGGTGCCTCTCCCTTATGTTCTATCATAACTACCAGGACAACTGTCATACTGCATCATAGTTCTGTGTTTCTTCATCTGTGTGCCTCTTTTCTCATGTGAAACAAAAATCCAAACCAGATGCTGTCAGTCAATTCCAACCCAAAGTGACCCTATAGGATAGAGTAGAACTGCCCCATAGGGTTTCCAAGGCTGTAATCTTTATGGAAGCAGAATGCTATATCTTTCTCCCATGCAGTAGATGGTGGGTTCAAACTGCCAACCTTCAACTTTCCAGTTAGCAGGCAAGGTCTTAACCATTGCACCACCAGTGCTCCTTTACTGAGGTTAGGGACTCTGTATTATATGTGACTTTGAATATGACTTAAAAAATGTTTGCTGGATGTGTGAGTGCAGGAAGGAAAGAAAAATATGAAATGAAATAAAGTTAGACATTTCTAAAGATGGGCCTGAAAAACCGTCTTCTCAATATAACCATGCTTCAGTTTCTCCTCTTGATATCAGTTCATCACTTGATTCTCCTAACCCAGTTCTTTTTACATTTATTTATTTTATTTTTGCAGTGTTTCCTCCTCTCCCTTCCCACCCCTGGTAACCAACAAAGAAAGTTTCCTTCCATAGATAAATCTTTCCTTGACTTTTTACAATAATGAACAATATTTGTCCTTCTGTGATTGACTTATTTCACTCAGCATAATGTCCTCCAAGTTTCCAAACCCAGTTATTTATCCACACTTCCCTCTAGTTCATCTTAGCCTGTGACATTCTGTGAAAGAATCTGCTCCACAACTGTGACAGTTTGTTATTTTCCTGACAACATCTCCTGCCCTTTTCCTGCCAACTAACCATAAACCTGATTCTGTTTAGGACAGTGGTGTGTCCATGTCCAGGCTATAATTATGATTGGTCTAAACCAGTCATGGTAATCCCATTCTCCTTTGCTAGATGTGAAATTCCCCAGCTTCCCTTATAGTTAGGATGGTCACATGACTCCAACTGTAAACAATGAGAATAAGAAGAGGACTGCTTAGGTTTCTGAAAGGTTTTTGCATTCTCAATACAAGGGGCAGATAAAACCAGAGATATCCTTTTTCCTTCTTTATGTTTTAAACAAAAACAGTACCTACAGCCACAGCAAGGAGCTCAGGTGGCATAGAGGGTAAGGCATTTGGTTGCTAATCAGAAGGCCAGTGGTTCAAATCCAGAAGCTGCTGCACAGGAGAAAGAAGAGGCAATCTGTTTCTGTAAAGATTAAGAGCTTTGGAATCAACTCGTTGGCAATGGGTTGTTTTTTTTTTTTGTTTTGGTAGAGCTGCAACAGCCATCTGTTGATTAAAGGCCAATAAACCAATACAGTAAGTGGGAAAAATAGGAAGGGAATAAGAGTGTGGATCCCCAAATACGAAAACTAAATTATGTCAAATACTGGAGGAGATTTAGAGATAAATAAACCCTCATCTACTGTTCTGGGCATATTAGATAGTACATTTTTTTAGAAGTCAAACTAGCAGAGCCAGATTAAATTTAGTATAAGCACATCCTATGATCCAGTTATCCTGTTCCTGGGTATTCATCTCAAATTCTCACACAGGGGGCATGTTTGAGGATGATTACTATAGCACTGATAATACTGGTGAGGAGCGGAAGGCAATCTGGGTGACTATCTTTGGGGAAGCTGATAGGCAAAACATGGTGGTTGTATACCACGGAACACTTACAAGCAAAGAAATAAATGCATATATAGAAATATAGATGGATTTTAAAACATTTTGCTAACTGAAAAAGTAAGAAACAGAATACTTATTCATAATACTTATATATATATATATAATATTTATTCATAACTTTAAAACACATGCACAAAAATTTAAGTGGTATTAGCAATGGATATACATTAAACCCATTATGGTGGGATGAGCTGTAGCACCAAACCTGGACCAGCCTACCTTCAGATTTCTCATTACATAAAACAAAATGTCTATTCTTGAGGCACTATTAGCCATGGATTCAGTTACCTGATGGTGAGTGCACCCAATAAACACAATAACAGATTCCTGTTCTCCAGATATAACTGCACTGTCACTCACTGAAGGTTACAAATCTTGACTCAGGTGTCACTAGGTATATGAAAAGTTTCATTTTTCTTCTTAAGCTTCAAGGCATTTTAATTTTAGCTGAAATTTATTTTCACAAATAAACACCTATAAGGAAAATCCCCAACTGCCCTGTTCTTCAGCCCAATCATCCCATTGTTTCCTCTTTTCTTTTTTCTCAAGTCTTGGAGTGGTTAGTGGCCTCACCAGACACTGATCCTCTGCTTGTGATCTGGTCCCTTCCTTTCCACTTAAACCAACAAAAAAACCTACTGCTGTAGAGTCAATTATGACTCACATAAACCCCCATTGAGTTTCCAAGGCAGTAAATCTTTACAGACGTAGACTGCCTCATCCCATATCCCACAGAGAGGCTGGTAGATTTGAACTGCCAACCTTCTGGTTAGCAGTCAAATGCCTTAGGCACTGCGCCACCAGAGATCCTTATATTATGCATTCATTCATTCATGCAAGCTATATTTATTAAGTACCAATTACTGTATTTCTACACAAATAACACTGGAGTTATACTTTTTTTGCAAAGCTAGCAACTGTCTCACACATCAGTTTCCTATGCATACTATGCACATGTGCACATTATTTATGTGGGCATGTGTCATATGTGAAAAATGCAGTACTAATTTTAATTTCTCCTTCCTTTTGGAAAGCTACTTTCCTTTTGTTATTTTCTTTGTTCAGGATTTTCTTGAATGAAGGGTGAAAACACTCTACTGTCCTCCCTAAGTCTCCTTGCAGCTCTGATGATATTTCTTAACTGCTATGGTGGCCTCACCAGCAGCCTTCAGTCTGGTCTAAATTCTCTGCTTCTGGCTTCTCCACAAAAAGATCAGGGACCCCAGCAAAGAATGATCACACAAGGTAGACTGGCTCAGGGTAGAATTCTTGGGTGCAAACAAAGTCTGTGTTTCAAGTGATTGTTTTTGCATAATTATTGTATATTGACAGGTCACACCCTTGGCATGGGGCCTCCTATTACCACAGAGGTGAAACTGGCACTCTTTCTGTATTATCCCAGGAAAACAGGCTTCTAATCATCTGGTTCCTTTGATCCTTTTCTAATTTCTTCCTATACCTGCAGGATCCATTCCACTGAGGACCATGCACTCACCTGTTGAGTATTCCCGAGGTCTCCCCACTGGGCTCTATATCTTCAGAAGTTTCCTGCTTTCCATAAAACAATCCATCTTTAGTCACAGCTTCTTCAGCTGAAATAATATATAAAGGATTTAAATATAATTTTTTCCCTGATTTTCAACCTCCAAGGTAGGACATAGGATATTCCAACCTTGGACACAAGTCAACAGGTGTCCCAGGAGTCCTCAATCTCATCAAGCCTACAAAATGTGGCACAACATGGAAAGATACTGAAAAAGGTCAACTAGGGCACCAAGGCACAGCTAAGGAGAGGATCTAATAGGGAAAAGCCCATTTGGAGAAAATTATACATGGATAGCAGCATTCTTAGAGAGTGAAGAGAACTTCCTCTATGGTAAAGAGGGCAGAGGAGAACATGGGGCTTCCAGGCATACAGAGATGGCTGCAAATGACAAGATATATAGAACTGTTGATAGGGAAGGAAAAGAGGAGCAAAGGAGGAGTTGCAGGAGGAAATCAGGGAATACAGTTTGATCAGAGAAGTTTACAAGAAGAATCAACAAGCTGGGTCAATTGATTAAGAGGGACACAAAAGAATAGAGGGTGAGAGAAATCTGGAGGCTAGAAATAGAAGGAAGGGTCAGGGTTTGTAGGAAATGTGGGCTCACAGGAAACGATCAATGCCAATGATGAGAGAAAGTGAGCATAGACAAGGGAACTAGCCAGAGGTCTGTCCTTACTCATCAGACTGAGGTTTGCAACCTGCTCCTGAACTGAGTTCTCACTGAGCTTCCCCAGATGTGGCCACTCCTGTGGGGCATGGGCCTGGGCTGCTTCTTCCTCAGTCTTCACCAATGTCTAAAAAGATAATAAATGATCTCTTTGTTCTCACTGTGGTAAGGATAAGGGGTCCAGTTATGAAGGGTGTTGAATACCACACTGTAGACCAATGATACGAATCACTCAACGGCATTCTGTTAACTTGTGGAAACATTTTCACTTCTAATAATGATGCCCCCCACCACTTCCTGCCAATGCCATTTAGAGAATGATGCCAGAGATGGCAGTCATCTTGCAATGTGTGGGACAGTTTCACACTACAGAGAACTGCCCCACATCCTGCACAACTTTCAAGTATCCTGCTGGACTAAATATAAATTGGTTGTCCTTATATATATAAGTTTTTAGAAGATGATATAGAAAAACGCGGTTATTTAGAAGGTTATAGAGAAATAAGCTTACATGGAAAAAGATATTATCTCAAAAGTATTGATTGATTCACTTGGATCATTCTACTATTTTCTAATATTTTCATATTATGTATTTGGAGGCATTTCAATGCAATGTTGCAGTTACTGCAAATGCAATTAAATTGAGTGTAGATATAAAATGGAGGTGTTCTGGGACTTCTATCAGACCTGGAACTTAATGTAAGTGTAGAGATCTCAATGAATTTCATTTAAAAAGGTCATTTAAAATATTTCAGATCTAGCACAGTGATATGATATCTAGTGGAAAAATTACACGCTGAAATGATTTCTTTATTCTGGGAGTTGCCTGTGGTTTTCTATCTTTGTCTGACATTGTCCATAAAAGTTTGCCACATGCCTTTTCATTAATCTTTTAATTTTTTGTTTCATTTCCCAATCTACTCTCTCCTTCCCATTGCCTTTGAGATATGATACAGTGCCCAGTCTGTTATAGACGTTTCAACAAGCAGGAGGATTTCAAGACAGATGATGCTTCCTTTCCATCTCTTCACTATCCCATTACAAACTGCAAACTGAGAATTATTTTGGCACTAAAAAGTCCAGCTAATTTTAAAGAATATCATAGCTCCTTGCTTTCTTCCCTTTGTTAGTCTAGAATTTGCCTTGACATTATAGCCTTACTTCAATTAAGGTTGTTGTTGTTGTTGTTACGTGCCGTCGAGTTGGACCTGACTTGTAGCGACCCCTCCTTGGGTTTCCGAGGCAGTATCGCTATGGAAGTACATAGCCCCATCTTCCTTCCATTTTTTTCTGGTCTTTTATTATTTGACTCAATGCTAGTTTCACTTTAACATCCACCCATATATCTGCTGTTTCATTTTCTTGGAATTCTGATCTTCTTGCTTCTTTTTAATAAAAACTTGATTATACATCAGTGCAAGTGAATTTTGTTATTGCTTCTGGTGTGATCCCATACAAAACTTTAGATCTTGAAATATAGACTTTTTTTTTAAATAAATTACTTTTCCTTCATTTATCAATGATTTTATAGTTAAGGAAATCATGTTGGTTAAAGTAATTAGTAAAGGTAGATAGATTTTATTTTCTGTGTATTTCTTTTCAGGAAGGTAAATTATTTGTTAAAAACAGGAAGCACTGGGTCTGATGGAATTACGAATTTAAGAATTTGAGAAAATTAATCTAGCAGGAGTGTGCAAGAGGGATTAGATGAGAAAAATATTTAACTTTGTTAATAAACAAACACTACATAACTAGAAAAATGATTTATCTACTAAGAGAATGAGGGGAAAAAACAGTTCATTTTGTACAGTTGTAAAGTTTTGTCTTGGATATACAGAACCTCACCATTATCATCACCAAATAGTAATTGGGTGTGTGCTGAACACTGAGGATGTAAAGGTGTAAGAAAAGGTCCTGTTTCTCAGGTGGGAGAGAGAAATTACAGCTCTCAAAAACCAAACATCAGTCATTAAGCATCAAACAAGTGGGGGCAATTTCTGAAACCAGGGGCCTGACTCTACCTCTTAGTCTCACACCTTGAGATTTGGGTATTTCCCCAAGAACACACCACACAATTAAGCAGTAGCATGGAATCAATAAGAGCTCCTTGAGCGATGTGCACGGGGCTGTGATTTTCTGTGACAAGCAAGGAGAAGAGACTGTACCGGCTGAAAGGCTCTCAGGTGTCAGGAGGTGATTAGGGAGTTAGAAGCCTGCTGCTGAAGCTTCCACAAGCCTGGGCATCCCGCTCACCTGGCACCTGGCTGAGTTAAATGCAGGCACTGATGCCGAGTCACTGAGGTTTTCTCCCTGGAGAAGGGCTCGCTCCTGGGGAGCAGGTTCTGTAGAGGGAGGAGACAAGAGTCCAAGGTGAGACACAATGGCCTTCAGGAGCATCCTTTGTGGGGATCTGTCCTCCCAAACCTTTTTATGTTTTCTTCATCCAGTAACTAAGATGAAGAGAAGACAAAGGTTCCTACACTCAGATTTTGCCAATTTCAGTCAGAGCACCACAACAATTTTCATTCTCTTGGGAATTCTATAATTTTTAAGGCTTCCCACCCACAAAGCCATGTGGAGTTTATGAACTCATGAGGTGTTCCACAATACTGCATACATGAAGGAAGAAAAAAAACAAGTGAAAAAAATGAGAAGGGAATAAGAAGTTGATGAGAAAGTAACGATCACGCAGAGAACCAAGAGATGGAAGAAAAGTAGTGGAGAGTAGAAAGATGAGGGACTGCATCACTGGAATAAAACTTGGTGGAAATTACAGCCTTGTCCCTAATTCACTGTCACTACTTACTCCCCATAATGCAGACATACCAAACTCAACACCTTAAAAAACACGATGTAAAGCAAGTCAGCTGGCAGACAAAGGGTTAAGAGTTGGGGAAGGAAAAGGATGTCAAGAGAAATGGAAGGAGGCAAAAATATAAAGGAAAAGAGAGGAAAGAGGTCAAAGAGAATGGAAATGTGAGAGAGCCAAGGCCAGATCAGACCTTGTGCTAGCTCCTTATTATCTTCTGGAGTTGGAAGAACATTAAGTTAAGCCTGGGAAAGAGGTGGAGGGATGTTTTCAAATGTATGAGAATTCATTTTAAACATATGCTGATCCACTGTTCTTTCCTCTGCCAAAGACAGAACAGGAGAAAATGGGTGTAAGTTGCAATGAACAAGATGGTATCCCAAGGTCCCTTCTACTTTTCCATCAACATATCTAAACACTTAACAAGTTCAACACTAAGAATCAATCACTATTGAGCATTAAGAGGCTAGCAAAAATACTCAAGAGTTTCCCTTTTAAGTTTCATATTTCATGATAGGTAGGAGAGAAATACCACACATACACATATCTATTCACAAGTAACACAATCTCTGTAAATGATGGTTTTGATTTTTTTTTAACACAGATTTCAATGGCACCTAACTTTTTAACGAAAATGTCCAAATTTTCTGGAATGAATTGGAATATATGGCTCCAATTGATCATCCTATTCTCTCTACCCAATATTTCCCTAAACAAACTCTACCCTCCGCCATATAAGTAACAGCCTAGAAGGGAAGGATGCAGACATGCCTGGGAAACTGATCTTTAGTTCACCTGGTCTCCAGGTGACTGGAGAAATTTGTTTGGGTTATAACTAGTTGTTTGCACCTGATAGGCAGGCAGTCTCTTAGCCAGAGTCTCCAGAACGTCTTGGAGGGGTTAAGAAGATTTAAGTATACTCATAGCAACAGAGAAAGAAGGAAACCTAAGACTCAAAGAAGAAACTAGTTTACAGGACTAATACTCTACAAGAACAACAGCCTCAACCTGCCTTGAGACCAGATGAACAAGATGGAGCCTGGCTACTACTACTGACTGTTCCAACCAGGGACACAGTGGATGGTCCCGGATAGAATGGGAGAAAAATGTAGAACAAGACTCAAATTCCTAAAAACATGTCAAACTTACTAGACTTGAAGAGACTAGAGGAACTTCTGAGGCTATCATTTTGGGATACTGTTTAAACTTGGAACTCAAACCATTCCTGGAGGTCACCTTTTAGCCAAATGATTGACTGACTCATAAAATAAGTAATATCACCCATGAGTCCTCTAAAGGAGATCTGGTGGTGTAGTGCCTAAGGCATTTGACTGCTAACCAGAAGGCTGGCAGTTCAAAACGGCCAGCCACTCTGTGGAAGAAAGATGGGCAATCTACTTTTGCATAGATTTACCGTCTTGAAAACCCAATGGGGTTTGCTATGAGTCAGAATTGACTCGATGGCAGAGTTTTTTTTTTTTTTTTTGAGTACTGCTCCTTTAAATAATCACCTAAATGAAACCAAACGGTAAGCACCTACTCTAGAGCAAAGATGAGAAAGTAAGGGGGGACAGGGAAACTAGATTAAATAATGGAAACAGAAAAATCAGAATGGAAATGAGAATGCTGGCATGTTGTAAAAAAATGTCACTGAACACTATGTATAGAAATTGTTAAACAAGAACCTAATTTGCTGTGTAAACTTTCACCAAAAACACAATCAAATATTTTAAATAAATAAAAAGAAGATGATGATATAAGGAGTCCCTGTAAGGTGCAAATGATCAACACACTTGGCTGCTAACTGAAAGGTTGGCAGTTTGGGTCCACCCGGCTGGAGGTGCCTTAGAAGGCCTTTTGATGTACTTATGAAAAATCAGCTCTGGAGAACAGTTCTACTCTGACACACGTGGGGTCACCATGTGTCAGAAGTGATTTGATGGCAACTGTTACGTTTTTTATTTGTTGTTCTTGTGTTGTTATGTGCCGTTGAGTCTGAACCAATTCACAGCGACCCCTCCTTGGGTTTCTGAGGTGGCATCACTACGAAAGTAGATTGCCCAACCTTCCTTCTGAGGAGTGGCTGGTGGGTTTAAATTGCCAGCCTTCTGGTTAGCAGTCAAGTGCCTTAGGCACTACGCTACCAGTAGGAGGATATAAAATGTTCTTGGAAATGCAAAGGAGAGTTTCCTAAAGGACCAAAGAGCATCCTTACCCCTATCACACATGCCACTGCAGAGGTACATCCTTGTGGGGGCTCAGAGGACTAAGGGAAGCTATGCTTCTTCCCGAGAGAATGCCACTGGGGTCCAGCTCTGTATAGCCATCGCATGCAGTTTTTAAGATTTTGCTTACATTAAAGAATTTTCTATCTTTCAACAACTGTTATTTTTCTGTCAATTACTACCTCCTTTGTGACAATCACTCTCTTCCTTTCTCTATTATCACCTCTTCTTCTCTAATAAAAATGAAATTAAACCCATTTCAGTAAATATGTTTATCATCTCATAGGTAAAAAAGAATGTTCACACCCCTCTTCCCCCAATTTCTGCTCCATTCCAAATCCTGCTGTCCTTAGAGGTTCAAGGCCAGGTCCACCCCTCCGTAGAAACTTTCCTGACCTCCAGGACTGTAAGGGTCTCTATCCCTTTTAAATTCTTCACATAATTGAAATACTTGGGGCTCCATGTGGTAGTGGTTTTTGGTAACTGAAGATATGATAGAACCATCAGCTATGTAAGTAGGGAACTCAAATTCTATTCATGAAGGAATGGGTAAATATTGAGCTCTGATGGTGTAATAGATAAGGCATTTGCCTGCTAACCAGGTCACTGGTTCAAACCTACCACCTACTCCATGGGAAGAAGATGAGGAACAGCTGTTGAGTTGACTACAACTCATAGTGACCCCTCCTTGGGTTTCCAAGGCAGTATCTCTACGGAAGTAGATTGCCCAATCTTCTTTCCTTGGAGTGGCTGGTGGACTTGAACTGCCCAGCCTTCTGGTTAGTAGTCAAATGCCTCAGGCATTATACCACCAAAACTCTCCCTTTGTGAAGATTTACAGCCATGGAAATCCAATGGGGGTCACTATGAGTCAGAATCAACTTGATGGCAGTTGGTAACATAAGGTAGTGCCCCTCACTATGGAGTTCTAAGATTTCTTTGAACTTTCTGTGCACTGTCTGTTCTCCCCAATTAATTGGCAGTCTGTAAACCACAGACTGAATTCTTTGCATGGTTTATCCCACTACCAGAGGCCTACACAGAGCTGAAATGTAACCAGTATTTGTGATGGTTTACCTAGAGGTGAAACCTAGATGTAGAGGGAGCACGCAGAGAGAAGAGCACTTTAAAGGGAGAAAAGCAGAGGATCTGTTTAAGCCTAAAGAATCATCTTTAAAATGGCTGAAAGATCAGAGACAGAGAAAAGAATGAAGAAAATGTTACCAGGGGGAAAATGATGAATTTGTGGAAAGCTACCAAGTAAATATTTAAAACATCTCCAAATATAGCATTACAAATGCAGAGTGGAGAGGGGTGGTAGAGGAGAGTGTTCTGGTTAGAAGTTCAAGAGACTTAAATTCTAGAAATGACTCTGCCTCTGTTGACCATGGGCAGGTTATTTATGCTCTCTGGGTTTTGGTTTTCCTACTATTAATTGAGGGTGATGGGCAAGATGATTTTTGAATTCTAACATTTCACAATTCCATGTTTTTAAAAACTTGCTTAAATACAGGGTTAGACAAAACAACAAAACTTGAGGACTTAGATAAGACTATGAACCAGTCAGTGGTCTTACTGCAATGTCCCCACTAAACTCACCCTCCGGCACTCACCACTCACTTCTTGGAAGTGGAGCTCTGGAGGTTCACACTTTAGGGTGGTTACCCCAGCTAGAAGCTGGAGGCGTTGACACTCCGAAGAAGGTTCTTGATATTTGGTCACTGCTAGATGCATGTCTTGTCCTTGAATGTAGAGTGAGGCCTGGGGACAAAAGACTCACCTTGAAAAGTTGGCCTGGTGGAAACAGTTAATGAAGCCCAGGTGGTGCAGTGGTTAACCAGTTCAGCTGCTAACCAAAAGGGTTGGTGCCTCAAACCAACCAGTTGCTCCATAGGAGAAAGATGTGGCAGTCTGCTTCCACAAAGATTACAGCCTTGGAAACCAGAGCTTTGGACTAGTTCATTCTGGTTCTATCATGGCCAAGGAAGCAACATCAGATTGAACTTGAATTTTTAAAATGTGGATGAACTAGAACACCTGCACCCCACACAGTGGGGGTGCAAACTTAGGGACTGCCCGTGGGTACTCATTAGCCTCTGTCACCCTTGCTAGATCTCTGCAAGCAAGTGTAACATAGGGCATCATGAAACAAATGTTAACAACTAGCAAGTCTGGGTTGGTGGGAGCTTTGTGTATTCTTCTCCCAGTGCTTCTATACATTAAAACTATTTCAATATAAAAAGTCAAAAACTTACAAGATAAATATTCCCTCATTTCTTCTCCCACACCATTGCAGCATTCTCCTCCCACCTGTTGTCCTGTGTCTCCAAGTTTTGTCTCTAGATTCTCCAGGGCTGTCACTGCTTCCTCTCCACTCCCCAGATGATATGCCTGCATGCACACCTGAAGGTCCTTGGGCAGAATGGTCAGGAATTGCTCTAGCACCAGCAGCTCCAGAATCTGCTCTTTCGTCCGTGTCTCTGGCCTCAGCCATTGATAGCAAAGTTCTTGGAGTTGGGCCATAGCCTCACGAGGCCCAGAAGCCTCCTGGTAGCAGAACTGCCGGAAGCGCAGGCGGCAAAGCTCCTGAGTGTGGGAGCTGTTCTCCTGTAAACCACATGCCTGCTCCCATGTGAGATCTTCCTCCTTCACCTTCACAAGGCCTTCTTCAACTCCAGGAGCAGGGGCTTCATACATGTTATGCTTAGATGATAGGACAGGGATCACTTGGCTGTGGTTTATGGTTCAGAAATGTTTTTCCAAATGTATATCTGAGGTGTGAGAATTTATCAGTAACATGAAAATTACAAGAGCTTCAAAACTCTACACAACATGCTAATATTTTTGTCCCCAGAGTAAGTCAGCCTTAAAAGCTGAGCCTACTTGCCTGTATTATCAGTGAAATTAATCAGGAGTATATCTTGAACCTTAAGAGGGCCCAGCCAAAAGCTAAAGTGTGTGGAGTATGAGGGAAGAAGGTCTTAGACTTATGAATACTTGAGTAATATACACTTTAGCTGAGAAAAGGGAATAACTCTGCCTATAGATGAGCCAGACAGCTGCTTGCACGGACAGATACTACACTTTCAAAGACATCTATCTCTGTGTATCTCCCACTGAATATTCCACTATTTCCAGAGATGACTGAAATAACTCAAATATCTTTTGTATTGAGATTTTGCTATTGTTCACATCAAAAGGTGGAGTCTAGTTCCCCTTCCCTTCAATCTGTGCTGAGTTATGACTTACTTTTACCAATAAAATTTGACAAAAATGCATTATAAGAAGAGGTAGCCTTGTAACTCTTGGCACACTGCCACAAGACTGCCATGCTATAAGGAAGCCCAAGTTAGCCATGCACACGTGGATGGGAACCAAGGCACCACATTCAATGTCCAGGGGAGCCTATTGCCCAGCTGATCCACCAGCTGAATACAGGCATATAAGTAATCCCAGGTGAGACCACAGCAGTGGAACTGCCCAATTAGCACACAGAATCATGAGAAATAATATAGTGATGTTGTTTTAAGGCACTAAGTCTTCGGTTTTTATTTTTTATATTTTTATGCAATAATACATAATTGAAACAGGAGACATGCTTCAAGGTCCTTTCTGTATTTCTCCACTTTTTGTGATCTCATCAAACATAATTTCAGTACATCTCCATCTCAAGAATATGTAAAGCTCTATCTAGCTCCAATTTATCTTCCATACTCCACACTCACATCTTGAACTGCCAGTAGGACACCAGCTACAGTCCTGTCCTGCAGTGCAATTTCAACACACCCCCAAATAAGAGCCCTTCAAAGCTGTATTTGCTCTGTATATTTCCACTTTTATTGATATCACTACCATCTTCCATGCTCTTAGGCTTCAAACAAAACCCTGTATCTACTCTGTATCCTGTCAATTCTTCCTCCCAAGAAGCCTCTCCGCAGCTATCACCTCCTTTTTATTCTCTTATTATCATTCATATTACTGTTAGACCAATTGTCTATGGAATATTACTGTCTCATCCTACAATCTATTGTTAAACCAAAACCAAACAAAACCATTTGTCATCCAGTCAATTCCAACTCATAGTGACCTGTGTGTGTCAGAATAGAACCTTGCTTCAGAGTCTTCAATAGCTGATTTTTCAGAGTAGATAGCCAGGCCTTGCTTTCAGGTGGACTCAACCTTGAACCTTCAACCTTTCTATCAGCAGCTCAGTGTTTGCATCACCCAAGAACTCCAAACCCAATTGCCAAGGAGTTGATTCCTACTGATGGTTACCTTGTGGTTTCTGACAGAACTGTACTCAATGGTACTGCATTACTATTTCCTAAATCATAGTTCTGACCATATTCAACAACTTCTCAGGAAAAGAAAAAGTTTTCAACTTCTACTCACTAAACTAAATTCAAACTCTCTATAATGCAACTTTAGGCATCCAGGATCTAATCTTTACTGGGTTTTGTTGGTTTATTTGTTACTCTATAAACATTTATTGAAGACCTCACTATTTTCCAGGCATAAGGCTAACCCTGGAATAAAAAATAAAATCCTCACCTTCAAGGAAAACAAGGTCTTTCCAAACCCCTCATGTTGATTACTCAATTTTCTCCACCCACCTTCTAGTTTATGTCCAGCACCGCTCTTCTGACAGCGTAAATTAATTCCCAAGGCCCAGCGCAAGTGCTCCGGTAGCGTAGTGCCTAAGGCACTTTGACTGCTAACCAGAAGCCTGGCAGTTCAAACCCACCAGCCACTCCTCGGAAGGAAGATGGGCAATCTACTTCCGTAGGGATACTGCCTCGGAAACCCAAGGAGGACTCGCCAGGTCCAACTCGAGGGCACATAACAACAACAGCGGGAGTGCCACATTCTTAAAACTTCCCTTGGCCACACCCAACCTATTCTGTTCTGCAAGCCACAATAGAGAACGTGGGGTGTTCTCAAGGAAAAGTGAGTTCAATCCTATCGTACCTCTCCTCCCCTCTCGTATTCCTGGCATCCCCCTCCTTTCTCGATTGCCAGGCAGGACAGGGGTTTATTTCTGCATGGCCTCTACTGCCGGCACGTACCTGGTATTCAACAAATAGTGGTGAGCTTGATGAACGCATGTAGACTTACAGAGGATGCCAGTGGCTGGGACACTGACACTGCACCTCAGGACCTAGCGCAGCGCTTGGCACACGGTGGATACTCAATAAACACTTGTCTAATTGCTGGTTAATAGACCAGAGGTTCTGCAAACGTGTACGACAAAGATCTGGCCGACCTCGGAAAGGCTGACACGCTTTAGGCGGCGCCGCTGGGTCCAGAAGCCCCGCACATTTAGAAGCACCGTACGTCCCGGCAGGAGCCCCGGTCACTGCGCCTCGCGGATCGGGTGGGTCTCGCCCGCGCTTCCTGTAGCCGCGGGTCGGGGAGCCCAAGGCTTGCACTCTCGCCGCCGGGGCGCTCCCGCGGACACCCCACAGTCCAGGCTAGCCTTCCAGCGTCGCAGGCCCCGCCCCGCGCGGGCGGTGGAGTTGCTGCGTCCAGCTGGTCCCGCGCCGCTCTAGGAGCGCGGCCGTTCGTCTCTCTGGTACACAGAGCCCGCGGGGGGCACCCGGGGCCGACTGGCCGGGGCTGTGGTGTGTGCTCTCGCCCATGATTCTGGGCGTCCGCTGCCCCTCTGAAGGTATCCGGGGCTTCTTTGCACTAGCGCGCGAATGGCTCCGAAATCGGGCGAAGCCGGGCACGCAACCGGCAGCGGGAACCTGGGAGCCGGACGCCAGTGGGCGGAAGGGTCCAGGACTGACCCAGCCAACCTCCAGCCTCGCCTGGGCCTCTCAGCCCTTGGAATCCAAGGCCGCCGGGTTGGCCCAAGCAGCTCCCCTCATTTATATAAATCACTTCAATTAAAAGCTATTTATTTTATACCAATAAGATGGTAAAGACAAAACCGAGTCTCTGTCTTGGGATCCTCACAGCTACTAGTGTGGGAGACCGATCAGTAAACAAAATGCAGCAAGCACCAAAAAACAGTTTAAAAAATATACAGATTGTATGAGTAGTTGATGGTCTCTTCTACGATCAACTCTTGGCCTTGTTTTGGCTGAAGATACTGAGCTTCTTCATCGCCTCTTCCCACAGATGTAGTTGATGTTGATTCCTGTGTATTCTATCTGGCCAGGTCCATGTTTGTTTTAAAAGGTATTTGCAATGGATAAGTCATTGGTCTTATAAAATTCTATCATGTGATCTCTGGTGTCATTCTATCATGAAGGCCATATTTTGCAACTACTGGTGATTATTCCTTGTTTCCAACTTTCTCATTCCAATCACCAGTAATAATCAATACATCTTGACAGCAGAAGTTGGTATAAGTCTTTAATTACCTCATCTTTTTTGGTTTTAGTGGTTGGTGCATAAATTTGAATAATAGTATTAATCTTCCTTGTAAACATGTGGATATTATCCTATCACTGACAGCATTGAATTTCAGGACAGGTCTTGAAATATTCTTTGTGATGATGAATGCCACACCATTTCTCTTCAATTTGTCATTCCTGGCATAGTACATCATATGATTTGAATCATATGATTCAAAATGGCCAAAACCAGTCCATTTCAGATCACTGATACCTAGATAATCAATCTTTATGTGTTCCATTTATTTTTTGACAACTTCCAATTTTTCTAGATTCATACTTCGTACATTCAATGTTCCGATTACTAATGTATGTTTGCAGCTATTTTTTTTTTTTTCACATTTTGAGTCATGCCCCATCAGCAAATGGAAGTCACAGAAACTTTACTTGCTCCATCCACATTATTAAGGTCCACTCTACTTTGAGGAAGCCGCTCTTCCCCAGGTGTACTTTGAGTGCCTTCTAACCTGAGGGGTTCATCTTCGCACACTATAGGAGACGATGTTTCAGAGCTATTCATAAAGTTTTCCAGTAATATTTCAGACAGTTTTTTGCTGCAGTTCATAAGGTTTTCATTGGCCAATTCTCTAAGAAGTGGATGGTCCCTTCCTTTTTTCCCAGTCTGTCTTAGTCTGGAAGCTCCACTGAAACAGATGCTGCACTAGAGGCACTGACTCTTCTATACAAAAAAATCCAGGCTTATCTTCCAAGGTGTCTTTTGGTGGATTCAAAGCAGCAACATTTCTGCTAGTAGTCAAGCACTTTATCTATTGCTCTGGTGGTGTAATGCCTAAGGCATTTGACTGCTAACCAGAAGGCTGGTGGTTCAAACCCACCAGCCACTCCTCGGAAGGAAGATTGGGCAATCTACTTCCGTAGTGATACTGCCTCAGAAACCCAAGGAGGGGTTGCTATGAGTTGCAATTGACTCAATGGCAGTGAGTTTGTTTTTTTGGTTTAGTAAAAGTATGTTGTTGTTGGTGGAGGTGATGGTGGTGGTGGTTGGTGGTGGTGGTTGGTGATTGTTGGTGGTTGGTGTTTGGTGGTGGTTGTTGTTTGTTGTTTGTTGTTATTGTTTGCTTTCGAGTCGGACCCGACTCATAGCGACCCCTCCTTGAGTTTCCAAGGCAGTATCACTACAGAAGTAGATTGCCCAACCTTCCTTCCGAGGAGTGGCTGGTGGGTTTGAACTGCCAGCCTTCTAGTTAGCAGTCAAGTGCCTTAGCCACTATGCTACCAGAGCTCCTAGTAAAAGTATAGAAACCCTTAAAAAGCTGACCCATGTCAATTAGCATA